TAAATTTACAACTCTCTGTAGTCTAAAGGAATCAAAATTAAGAAGCATTATTGTTCTCCCTAAAAATATACTGATAAAGATCTCTTAGCAATAAAATATAATTCTGTTTTTAAAAGCAGAAGGCCACTCAATATGAAAAAGCAAAGCCATACAGTTACAATTATGTTCCTCAGTATCTTTGTTCTTACTTGCTCTCAGCAGAGTGGGTGAAAGGTTACCAACTGCAATTCAACTCTCATTTAGACAAACAGACCCATGACACTCACCCAGCTGTCTATTACAGCAGACTTCTATTGCATTGTAACAAATACCACAACACTGCTGCACTGGCTAGCCAATGCTAACAGGGTAAGAGGATATTTTTCTGATCTTCTACCTATGACACATATCTAACTGCTCAAAATATTTTACAAGCCAGTTCTCAATTTTAACTAATTCATCAATACAACTGGATAACGCTGCAAATACAATGTACTCTGTAAATATAATTCCAATACTGGGAAATACCACACAACTTTTCAACAGCTTCCAAAACAATAATTACCTATCTCAAGGCTGACAAAACACAGCTCTTTTGAATGCTTCATGAGATTGCATGGCCTGTTAGAATCTGACATGTTATTTTAAGTTGTCATGGCTTACATATGAATATTTGATTTTTCAGTCGTATTGCACAAGACAAATAACTTTGCCCATTTTGAATTTAATTCCTGCCACTTCTTGGGAGTAGGGGTGCTCACTAAGAGCTTAATGTAACTCTTCGGGGGTGAGGATTAAACATTTCCACATTTGTCATCAGCTAGGGTTCTTTGGACATTAGGAAAAGGTTCTTCCCTGAGGGGGTGCTGGTCACTGGGCCAGGCTCCCCAGGGCAGTGGTCGTGGCACCAAGCCTGTCAGAGTTCAAGGAGCATCTGAACGATGCTCTTAGTCATATGGTTTAGTTTCAGGTAGTCCTGTGAGGAGCAGGGAGTTGGACTCGATGATCCTTATGGGTCCCTTCCAACTTGAGATATTTATGATTCTATGAAGTACATCTGGATAAACCTTGCATTGCTCAAAATACGATTCACTTGAAAATTGTTTCTACTTTTGTGTGATCACTGCGATGTTGACTTTACCCTTCCAGACTTAAGACCATTGTTCTCCCGGACGACCGTTTGGCACCATTTGCCTCACGCGCGGCTGGGCAAACACGCTCGTTGTTCGGGTGGCCGCAAGTTGCGAGGCTTCTCCGTGGCCCGTTTCCCAAAGGCAGCGTTTCGCCAGCGCAGCACGACTTTCCGCCCCGAGACAGCGGCGCAGCCCAATCAGGGGCTGCTGGGCC